AGCTGCAGAAATGTTGCTGGCATGCATGTATGCATCATTGTTCTCTGATAATCCGGTTCATGCAGCGCTACAGAAGCCTCACTCATCAACAGAGCTGTCAATCATAATGTTATGCTTCTTTGTAAAGCATCAAATAATGAAGTCAAACTAACATTCTCAGAGAAATAAGCATTAAAGAGACAGTTTGTTTTTTAAAAGTGTGGTTAGAGGTACGTGTAGTAAGTTTATTAGCCCAAATAGATGCTGGTCAGCACTCTATTGAGAAATGGATCTGAGTTTAAGACCTCATTAACCAGGGTTCTATTCAAACCTGCTTCAGACCCTCTTTAACTTGGGTTTAAGTCAAGCCTGCCTCTGGCCTTCTTTAACCCAGGCTTATCTTAAAAACATGAAGTCAGTCTACTTATTATGAAGAAACCAGAGAGAAGAATCATCGGATTACAAGCCGATGTAATGCTGAGCTCTCACTTCCTGCTTTGAGGATGCATTATTTTTGAATGTTGCTTAACTTGTTCTTTGTTCATACTGTGACTCACCTGGAATTCAGCCTGATAGGTCATGACTGGCTGTTTTGGTATGATGTGATGTTTGCAGGAGAGATATGAAAGAGAAAGATGAGGAGTATTACACTGCAGGACCAGAAGTAGCTCAAAGACCGAGGATCAGATCTCAACAATCTTCACTTTCAGGTCAGGAGGTTCTTAAGATGTTTTGATAGTTTGACATACTGTAATGTATACCCGTAGTCCTTCCTATAACTGTTCAACATGCAGCCCATGACTTAAAGGTTTTAACTCTGGTTTAATAATACTTTTGAGTTGTGAAGCCATGAGACAGTTTCCAGACAAAAGGATAAAAGTTGTTTTGAAAGATCAATTGAGCCAAATTGTTGGAAAAGTTCAATCTGGACCAAAATGGCCCTGGGTGTTTCAAATCCCATATTTCAGCTCCTTCCGTGCTGTTTTTCTAAATAAAACTAGATTTAGTTTCAACAAATCCAGAAACCAACTTTTCAAGACAACCAAATCTATATAAAAAATGTCCCTATATTGGACTATAAGCTTCAGACTTTGTCCACAGGTGGAGCCGAAATAGACACAAAATGAAAGTTCATCGCAGTTCTTTTCCTTTGAATAATGTTCAGTATTTACAGCTACAAAGGTCTTTATTTCTATAAATAATCATGTCTACATAACTGTTAGGTCGCAGTTTTGATTCAAGGGATTGAATTCAATATTTAAAATGTCTACAGTTTGTTCTAGGAGATAACATTTTTGAAAATCTATCAACATGCAAAAAAATGTTGAACAACACGAACTGCAGGTTTATACCAGATAAAAACAAAGTCTTGCATTTCCTGATTACCCGATTCCAGTTGAACGACTTTATTAGATCCAACGTGATAGCTTTGATCGGATCTCTTTCTTTTGAACAACAAAAGAACTAATGAAAACAACCAATCCACTTCTTAAAGGTGCACTATGGAGTTTTTGTAGAGAAAGGTGAAAGTGCAGAAATTTACATATTCTGTGGTTTATGTTTATAACTCTATACACAAACTGTCCTCAGAGGAAAATTTGCTACACAAGAAGTTATGGTGGTAGGCCCGCTACAGTGAAATAGTAACTCTCCTGGTAGCTTTTTAGCTCCAAACAGTGTCCAGGGACCCATTTTTTCCTTTGAGTAAAGTTTGTGTATTCAGTTCAGAAAATATAACATAGAATTGTTTCACTTCTCCAACTTTCAAATTTCACCACCAAATATACATAGTGCACCTTTAAGTTTTTATTTTTATTTTTATTGTGCACTGTGTGTTCTTTCTGTGCTTCTGTAACTCTGTGAATGTCTCTGTGAGGGGATAAATAAAGGTTTATCTTATCTTACATGTAACTGTTTCTGTAAAGAATAGGGATCATATTTTTGGATGTGTTTCCTAAAGAACACTGAGGTGATATTTGACCTGATCTGGTAGATTCTTATTTCAAAGATGATGATAATGTGTTTCAGAGTCTGTGCTGTTAAACGTTGAGAAGAATGTCTCCAGCTCTGCTCTGTGCAGCCCTGCTGTTGCTGCTGCTCCCTGGAGCTCCTGCTGAAAGTACGTCTCAGAACACTTCTTTCTACTTCCGTCGAGGGGAAAAATGACTTTCCTCTTATGATGTTTTATTGCTGTATATGCCAGGTTTGCAGATTATTTAGCTTCTTAAATCTGACAAATAGTTTTACTTTTCACTGCTTATCAATTGATTAGTAACTGGAAGATTTAAAAGCTGAACTATATATAAGTTAACATATTAGACACTGACAGCTAATGAACAACAGCTAATATTTGCACGCAACCAGTTTTGAGCTATTAATACTATTAGCTGGTTATTTTTGTCTATCTAAACGTATCAAACTCAAACAAAATCAAACTTAAGTGTTTTGAGTTTCTTTAGAATGAGGCGATGGTGCCATCTCATTGATTTCTGATCCATTATTTTCTGTTTCTGTGTCTGTTCGAATCTGCATTCAAACTTTGACCCTTTTTTTTATTTTTCAGACTCTAATGTAACTCCCATCAGCATCCGTGTGTCAAACTCTGTCACAAATGCTCCCAATAAGACCTACAGCACTCATGTGGTTTTCAGAGGAATCTTACTGGGAGGAATGAGGAGACTGCAGAGGGAAAACCACTGCTTCAAGTAAGATCAGAGTTTTATTTCTATAACCGAAATAACCACGTCACCATGTTCCCCTTTTGCTTTACTTCACTAAGGAATCTCTTTAGAGACCTTACTCAGAGACAGGGGTGACATATTTGTACTCTTTCTCTCGTGACTCAGCTTTTCTTTGATTATCAGATGACCAATCTTGCACAATTACATTTTTCCGTTCCGCAACATTAAGTCAAAATGAGGTCAGGTTTGTTTCCCGCTACACTAGAAAAACAAATCCACACTTTCACAACAACACCATGCTGCCACACCTTTAAGTGAAATAACAAATGCAGGGGAGGGAATGTTACATTAAAAATGGCCGTTAAGTCGCCTGATGTTGTCTCAGGTTCACTTACACGGAGCATGCAGATTACGGCCCGTTCCTGGAGAGCGTGAACGGTCTTCATGGATGTCCTAAAGAACAAACCTTCTGGGAGCTGCGGGTCATGTCAGCAAATGGCATAGTCATAACACCTGATGTTGGTGAGTCACTTTTAAGATCCACTATGTTGTTCCTGGTCTTATTGTGAATTAATTAATAATCGGTTTTTTTCTTAATTTTCTTTTGCAGGGATTGGATGTTACATTCCATGTGCCAATGACACCATCATCCTGAACTACAAAAAGTTTGTATCCGGCGACCTTTAGACATCCGGAACACTCTGATTCAACTCTTCCATTATGCATTCATCAATCATCTGCTTTTGTAGCTCAGTGAGAAGTCACAGCTTAATACCCAGCACTGGACCTTCTGCAGCAAAACAACAACAACAACAGATTGTTGATTGATAGTACAGAAAAGGAAAATGATGATATTACTTTGGTGTGTCATTTTTGATGATTATCTTTTGGGAAAACACCTCAATCTGAACTTTTTTTTCTTTATACTTCCTCCTTCAGACCTCTGATGACTTTGGCTATGTGATTATAAAAAAAGACGTTGGCACCCTAATTAAATGGTCTTTGGAAATCTTTCTGAAATAATAATTAAAATCTACTGTAAAGCAATAAATATTTGCATTTGTGTTTTTTTTTCTGATTAGCCTTCTTTTAAAAGTGATGCAAAAACACAGAGAAAAGAAAATGTCCTAGCAAGGCTAATAGCATTGCTAACAGCCTAATGGTACAAAATACTCTCAGAGTATAATAGATAGAACAGTGTACATGCCATATTGAATGTTTGAAAGATGGACATCATAGCTAAAACCTTTAGAGCGCCGCCCTCTGCATGTTAAAGGTCACATTCTGCAAGATACACTTCACCATGACCTCTGAGACTTATATAAGATTGTTGAAAAGAAGTAGAATATGTGACCTTGAACAGATGGGACATGAGTCGAACTTAAAATTAATGTTAAATACATTTTTCTCAAACATGGTTTCTGTCATTATTATTAGTTATTATGCTGTTATATCTCCAATTATTTATTTTTCTGAATAATTTTTGTTTTATTTATTTGATGCATTAGGATTGCTAACAAGACCAACCTTCATTCCTCCTTGTGGGTTAACTTACACATACCTGCACCAGGTGTGGTTACACATTGCTCCAGTCAATATGCCAGTTTAACCTGACACATCCGACATAAAACTTTATCTCCATTTCATAGATCAAAATACTGACAAACTATGCAGCGAGACGAGATGCCATCCTTCCACTGTCCTGTTGTCTACTCTCAGGTCATAGTGCAGCATTAGGCTGGAGGCTGGACATGTGAAAAGTCTTGAATGTCCTTGACAAAGCGCAGTCTGAAAGCAAACTGAATTAAAGGAAAAATAAAACCCCTGTTGCAACTTAACCCCTGAATCGCAGTTCACTGGACTTCATATGTGAAAGTGACCATAGAGTGCAATTCAAGATTTTTGACTCCTGATGGAAACCCATTGGAGAGCTTTTGATGTGGTAGCAACTTAAGACCCATAATAACCTGCTCCCTCTCAATCACAGGCTTTACTCATGTAAATGTGACAGACACAAGCATGCAAACACAGTGGAAGTATGAACGGAGAGGGTGTAAGGGGTGGTTTAAGAAAAGCCGAAAGTCTCATTTTGTGATTTCTATACTGTTTGGTATATAGTTTATGTTTCTGTTTGTATCCATTTATAAAGCTTTCTGTGACTCTCTGTTCTTGAAAGGTGCTGTATATATTAATATTATTTGGTTATATTAATCATTTTAGCCTTCAAAAAGTGATATTTCAACACCTGATCTGTCTGTAGGATAACTGTGATCACAGGAATATGTTCAAAACACTTGTCAGCAGAATTTTTGTTCTCTTTGCAAATCAGTCAAAACAACACATGTTTTAATGTTTTATTTACTCGACTCTTCACACAGAGGCATGGCGTTTGATTTTTCACATATGAAAAACAGCTGCAATCATTCCATCATTCATCTGATGTCATGTTGGTGCATGCTGCAGGTTGCTCAATCTTCACCACTTTGAAAACTTCAGGATGATTTGCTCATTAGCACTGGGAATGTAACATCCAACACCTGCAAGCGAGATACAGAAAATCGTGTTGTTATCTGATTTAATGTAGATTTCTGGAGGGGTGTGTTAACAGTGGACTCACCAACATCAGGCCTTTTGATTTCACCATCTGGAGTTTTGACCAGCAGCTCCCAGTATGTGCGCTCTTTATCATTTCCTGCCACGCCATTCACACTCTCCAGGTACGGGCCATAGTTTGGATCCTCTGTGTAGGTGAACCTGCAAGACCAAAAAGAGGGACAGTTAACGTCACATGTTATCTATATACCCTTACAGTGCAGCTTTAGTCAGTTTGATTGTTTTTAAGAAAGTTGGTTTCCAGCTATAGTAATACCATATACTGTGAAGATTTGGCCTTAAATGTATTCTACACAACGATTGACATCACAGGAGCTACGTCCACTTCTTAATACAGCCTGGTCTTAAAACCTAAAACTTCCAATGCAGATGCAGTGAGATTAGATTTATCGGTGACGAACATCATGGGTCCAGTGGTTTAGCTCCAGCTCAATAATGAATCAGCCTTTAATAAATCAATCAATTCTCATTTGTAGAGTAACAATTATAACAGATGTAACCTCTAGACACTTTACAAAAAGAGCAGCTCTACTCTCTACATAAGTATTTTTTTTTAAATATTCTTTTAGAATTTAGAACTGTTTTGTCCCAAAATCTGAAAATTGTAATTTTGTATACTGAATATTGTAACCTGACTGGTAATTTTATTTGCGCTCACAAGATAACTTTTTGTGCTCACAGGATAATAACTTGTTCCAACAGTATGATTTCTCGTGTGGACATGATAATTATATCTTCTCACAATTATAATTTTTACTTTTTTTTGGGACTTCAGGGGCTCCATCGTTTAGGGGGAAAAAATACAACAAAAACACATTCTTACCAGTAGCAAAATATTTTAGAGGGCATTCTATTTATAGAGATGTTATGAAGTTTTTTTTGATTCAAACATTTATATCGTATTGGAAAACCCTGAATAACAACATATGAGGAAAGAAATGTGCCTATTCCTGCAAAATGATTATTAAATTTGTCACCTTGAAGAGGGTCCTAATATCAGGCTGAAAACAAAGTCTGAGGTCTAAAACAAAGTCTCAGAAGATTTCTCAAACTGGACCCTTCAGACTCACACTCACACTCTTCATTGAGTATGAAGGACAATGGCCAGCTTAGCGACGAACTCCCCGCACTGTTGATGGCACAAGAACTTGTGTACTGACCAGAACTAGGAAAAGGGACCACATTACTCCTGTCTTGGCTTCTCTGCACTGGCTCCCTATACAGTCTAGAATAGAATTCAAGATCCTTCTTCTCACTTACAAAGCTCTAAGTGGCCAGGCACCATCTTATCTTAAGGAGCTACTAGTGCCGTACTGTCCCTCGAGAGCGTTGCAGTCCCGGAGTGCAGACCTGCTAGTGGTACCTACAGTCTCTAAGTGTACTATGGGGGATAAAGCCTTCAGTTATCGGGCTCCTCTCCTCTGGAATCGTCTTCCAGATGGGGTCCGGGAGGCAGACACAGTCTGTATTTTTAAGAATAGACTTAAAACTTTCCTTTTTGATAAATCTTATAGTTAGGGCCGGTGCTGGTGTAGACCAGCTCTTAGTTATGCTGCTATAGGCTTAGACTACCGGGGGAACTGGCACCTTGAGCTCCTCGCTCTCTCTCGCTCTCTCTGTGCATATACAGTACATCATATTACTGCATGTATCTATCTGTAAATCTCCGTCACTAACCACCTACTTTCCTGAGAGCTCTTGAGCTCTCTTGGGCTCCTCAAGATCGTTGGTTGACGGCCTGCCAGAACAGGCAGACACTTGTTATGAGTTGACGCTATACAAATAAATAACTTGAACGTTTTCTAACTATGGTTACATGTTAAATCCACCCTCAGTGGGTTCTGGATCCAAAAAACACAAATAGGTAAGGAAAGCAAAACAAGAAGCTCCCATTTTGAAGGATTTATTTTGTGACGTTTGGAGCCAAGATGCTAGTCTGAGGATGAGCAATCCTTATGTGACATAAACAAACTCCATATTAGTTTTGAATAGAACCTGTTCAGTAAGTCAGCATCAGTGCACTCCCTCTCCACAATCACAGGCTCTTACTTTACTCAGTTCATGTGACAGACAGACACAAGCATGCAAACACAGTGGAAGTGTGAACGGAGAGGGTGTAAGGGGTAGTTTGAGAAAAGCCAAAAGTCTCATTTTGTGATAATTAATGTTATGATCTTACTTGAAGTCTCCATTAGCGGCCATGAGTCTCTTCAGAGCTCCCAGCAGGATCCCTCTGTGAACGACATGAGTGCTGAAGGTCACAGGAGAGGAGCCCAGTAAGCTGGTCTCCACCACCACATCGATGGGAGCTGTTTTATCTTCTGAAACAAAAACCCAAATATGTTAAAGAGATTCTTCACATGTTTGGGAACAATAATAAATCTAATAATAATGATTTAAATAGGAATTAATGAAACATCCTGCAGCTTACCCTGAGTCAAAGTCCCAGGAATCAGCAGCAGCATTAGAGCTGCAAAGAGCAGAGCAGGACCCTTCATCATGGCCGGTGTTAGAGAGATTACAAGCTAGTGGTCACTCTTTTTATTCCAGTCGTCAATGTTTACACAGCAGAGGAGAGTATGTTGATCCAAGTTTCCATAAAGCCAGCTCACAGGTCACAGAGAGGTGGTGTTCAGAACTCGTGTTTGCACGGCTAAGTGGTGTACAATGAACGAGGACACTCATAATTCAAGATAGTCTTTACACTACTCCATCTTACAGTGTGTATGAAGGTGAAGATCTTGTACACTGAATGAAATGTTTACTTTTCAGGTAAAAAGAGTTAAGTAATTTTCAGTGGAGGAGGGAAGAAAAAAAAGTCAAGAAGAAGAGTAAATATAAAATGTAATCTCTATAAATCTTCATTTTGGAAAGTATCTCTTCAAAGTGAAAAACGGCTAGTGTCCCTCTGAAACCAAGGTCAAAGAAAGATAACACTGTTTAAAAACAGTATGTCTTGTCGGGTGGGGGTCAGGGTGGACAGTGTGTTTCAACAAAGGTGGTTTTCTACAAGCTGGTCGATTCTGGTCTTATCAAGACCAAAACCAGACGACAATGTAGGGTTGTTCCACTACATCCAGATTCTCTCTTTTGTTACATATCTGGATGAATGAAAGCTCAAAATAAAAGTTTGGTTTTGCTCCAGGTATGAATGAACAGGTTTCCAGTAGATTGCTTTAACTGGCATAACTCTCATAAGGGCTGCAATGGCTGCAGTATAATCCCTGCTCGCCAATAAATCAAAATATGTGGGCTAAAAGTTCTTGTATTACTGACAGGATCAGCCTCTAAATCTGTGAAACAATTTGAAAAAACCTCCTCAAAGGCAGACAATTTGTTAAATAGATTATGTAAGATATAGATATTATCTTGTGTGCACAAATTACTAACTAATGTGCTCAAGATTTATTAACAACAACAACAACAACAAAACAACCTCTGTATTGTTAATTGAATCACTGGTTGTAGGTCTCACATATTTTGCAGGTCATTATGATGTGAAGCTTACACACCATGTCACTACTGGATATCTGTTTTGTCTGTTCAGTGATGCTGATGCTCGTTCTCAGCTTTGTGAAGGTGAGCTGAAGTGTTGTTCATAGAGGGCTTCATTAACCAGGTGATCTCACTGTCAGGGGATTCAATCAGTATGTGGCTCATCCTTGAACATGAACAGTGCCTTGCATACTGTACTTATCCCCCTCCTCTTGGTCTTCTCTTACATGTTACACTGTCACAAGCCTCTTTGGACTTTGCACCATTTGATAAAAAAAAGTGGCCATCTGTCAGATTCACACGTCAAAGTGAAGTAATACTTGACACCTGATCTTACTGTGAGGTTTCCTAGCAAAGCACAGAAAGTGAATCATGGGTTATTTTTGTGTTGTTTTGTTATAGACAAGCCCAATAAAACCAGTCCTGATATGTTGCTGTCAAATGAAAACATATTAAGTTCAAAAGGGGTTGACACTTTTGCAAGGCAATGTAGTGTTTCATCAAACGTTCTCCTGTCGTGTTGGTAAGGTTCTTTGCCAGCAGGGGTCTCTGTAGACCTCCAGCAGGGGTCTGTGCAGACCTCCAGCAGGGGTCTCTGCAGACCTCCAGGAAGGGTCTCTGAAGACCTCCAGGACATTCATCTATAAGCTGAAGAAATCAAAAGCCAACTCTGTAAAAGAAGACCTTTCAGGGTAATAGTTTAATAGCTGATAAGGAAATTAACCCGAGGGAGGGTGGGTTTTATTAACGTGAGAATGCAAAGGTCAAGCTTAAGAGTTAATTATGTTTTTTAGAGTGAGGACCACCTGTTTAAATACATTTTGACCTTTTTTCTTCTTAAGTGGTCATTAATAAACATATACATTTCAGAGTTCGCACCCCTTTTCTTATCAGCTCACATTTGTTATGTCACTTCTTTATGGTGAGCTAAAGAAAGTAAACAGAACCTCATGGGCTGAAAAAGGTGTTTTATATTTAGTTTCTGGTCATGACGCCCTAAGACACACACGTTCTTACAAATAGTATGTGGCAGGGAAAGTTAATTTTTTGCCAATCATAGAATAAAATTACTTTATTGATCCCAAACTGAGAAATTGTGGTCAGGGGACCTTCTTTGGTTTTGCCCACTTTGCACATTACATAATGATATATGTATCCTTTCTGACATCCCACAGATACTGTTTCCATCCTCATACATCCGTATTCTATACATCTACATGTCCACATGAAATTGGACGTATTTAGAGATAATTCACTTAAGATTTGCTTCAAACTTCCATCAGACTAATCCTCGTCTGAATCAGCCTGGCTGTTTGACACAAACATGTTTTTATTTGAATAGACATTTCATGAATGAATAAATGAATATTTTATTTTCGTGACAGGTCATTTACAGGACCCTTCCCACATGGACTCATTCTGACACATTAGCTGAGAGTCATTTGACTGACATCACAGCACTGTTAACATGAACCATCGCCCCAATAATAACACTCCAACTTTAACTGTTGGCATTTTAATCCGTTTTTTAAGCTTCAGTTGTTTGATGTGTTCAACTTTTTCTGAGTCTTTCTGGCTTTGTGCACTGATAATGGATATCTGTTTTTTTTTATAACTGCTTATCAGTTGAGTCGACATCATCGTATTTTAAGGGTTGTCCATTAAAAACTTCTCAAGTATAAGTCATGTTTGATCGATTGATTGTTTGGGATTACACGTAGTCATTATACTTAAAGTTCAAATAAATCAAATTTACTGATCTTGTGGAAATTAAAACTGCACAAATAATGTTTCCAGAAAAAAATAATAGAACCGAGAAATATTTTAAAAAATGTCCGTCGATTAAAAGGGGATAATGATTTGTTTGTAAATATAACTTTTTGTTGTTTGCTTGTTTGCCTTTTCATGTCTCTTTTTTTGCATGTTCAAATAAAAATAAAAATCCATCACACCAGAGGATGAGGCTGATAAGGACGTCGCCCGTCAACGTCAGACTGAAGAGATGGACTCTGCTGCCCTCCAGTGGTCACTTTGGGAACTTCGCCTTATTGGCCTCTAATCTGCTACTGTTACATATTCCTCATTTGACTCGGAGCAACAACCTCTTAGTGTTAAGATCAGGAGGACAAAGCTCTCCTGTCTACCCAAAGCAATAAGGCCTATCACATGTTTGGCCCAAACTCATTATGCGGGTATTATCCAGAAGCCTTTATCATATCATATGTTATGTTATTGACAATCAACCAGTTCATCAGTAAGGTTTGAATATTTGTGAATACTATAGATTCTGAAAAATTTAATTAATACTAAACCTCTAATTTAAACATAGAGTATAAAAATGAAAAGCTGTTGTTTATGGATGTTTACTTGATGATATATTGCATTATCCAGGTTTGTTGGCTGATTTTGCTCCTTTTGATCTGATAATAATGCACATTGAATAGTAATATCTCCTCCACTTATAATCACATAATGTTAATATTTAAAGCATCCATATACAGTATAACTTTTCCACCTTAAAATGGGAGTTTGAAATTCAATGTAATAGCACAACAACTTTCAACAGGGACTATGGCGTTTCACCCCTGTCCATTCAGCGCCACAAATGCCTGCATTCAGCTCTATGTAACTCCGGCAGTGTCCTGAACTTCTCTCTTTAAGAAGTGCATACTGCTTTACAGTACTCGTTCAAACAGCGGCCGTCAGCTTAAAATAAGAAAGTTAGCCCGTTAGCCCGTTAGCCTGTTTGATGGCTCAGGGAAAGAGACTGAAAGGGGCGGTGACGGATGAAGCTAATTAAAGAAAAAGAGAGAGAGTGACTGTGGTGTCAAATCCCAATTCATTCACAAGAGCACATTCACACTCTGATGCACTCCAAACCTGCAGAGGGCGACCACATGCAAAACAAGTTGGTGGAACCCAAAATCTTGGAAAGTGCTCCTAGAGGGACCATATTCACCTGCACTGGTAAAGCATGGCATGAAATGTTTCGGAGGGAGCTCAGTTGGCCCTCTCACCTGCCCCTGGAAACAGGGCACGACCACAGCTCCTGATCAATCAGAAGATGCAACTGGTAGGAAAAACAACTTTGAATGTGGATGATGTGTTGAGGTCATGCTTCTCCATGACTGTTTGGTTGAGTTAGTGAGTAATATGCAGTTTAAGTTGGACAATTTTAGTTATGCTAATTTCAGTTTATGTATTTTGTTGAAACTTTGTTTGTTTGAGAACCAAGTAATGGTAAAAATTTATTCTTTAGGAAAACTTTGAGAGAAAATGTTTATTAGAATTTATTTGAGACTAATGCATGTCTTTTCTGTTTATCTTGAAGGTTATCAACCTATTCGATTCCCTCATATTCCATCATTCTGTTTATATCCATTGTAACCATCAAACCCAAAACCATCTTCAAGAAAATCAAAATCAAAGAATTGAGTTGTCCTTAGCATCCTTCAGCAGTTGATCAAGCAGTTTTTCAAGTTTGGGCAGAGTTGTGGTCACAAAAACACACAGAACTTGACAGTGACCGAGTAAGAAGCCGGACTACAGGAAATGTTGGACCTTGCCAGTCGACATGGTTCATTGATGCCTTGTTGAAAACTTATACCATGGCAGGAAACAAAAGCAGAGGCTATCTGTATCCCTTATCAAATAATGCTCCCAGTACAGAATCACTTTAAAACATCACTACTACACACTGACCAAGTGGTCAGGTCGCACCCCAAGTATGGAGGCTTCTGTCCTCTTATCAGGCGGCCCTGGTTAAATCCAATCTGCATCTCCTTTCCCACATGTCGTTCCGCTCTCGCTCTCGCTCTCGCTCTCTTTGGATTTCCAACTCTATCCACTGACCTGGCTAGTTAAAGGCAACAAACCAAAACACAAGTCTTAAAAAAAAAAAAAACACCACTGCTCACTTTATTTGCTCTGTAAGGAAACAGGAAGCATGTTTTGATTCTCTACAATAAAACCTTTATTTAAAATTTAAGAGGACGTGTTTCTCGATAGACGTGTGAGTGTGAGTGAGCGAGCATGGCCAGTGG